AAAAAACCGAATTTTCCCCCAAAAAATCTCATTTTTCACCCCAAAAATCCCTTTTTTTCCCCCCCAATAAAGTCCCAAATTCCATCCTAAATTTCATTTTATCCCAAAATCGGGATCTCCCCCGAATCCCGGGAATCCCAAAATTCCCCAGATTTTCTGGGATTCATTTGGGTTTCCCAAAATGCTCCAAATCCCCATTTCCCTCCCCCCAAAAAAAAGATGAAAAAAAAAGAAAATTTTTCCTTTTCCGAACACTTTTATTGAACCAAAACCCCCAAAACTGAGCTCCCCAAATCCCTGGAAAATTCCCCAAATTCCCGGGGCTTGGGGCCTTTTTTGGGAACTTTTTGGGGCCTTTTTTGAGAATTTTTGGGGCCATTTTTGAGAAATTTTTGGGGCCATTTTTGAGAATTTTTTGGGCCATTTTGGGCTCATTTTTGAGAAATTTTTGGGGCCATTTTTGAGAATTTTCGGCCCAATTTTTGGGCTATTTTGGATAATTTTTTGATCCGTTTTTGATAATTTTTTGGGGCAGTTTTTGATAATTTTTTACCCATTTTTGGGGCTGTTTTGCCCCATTTTTTTGCCCCGTTTTTGGGGCTGTTCTGGGCAGTTTTTGATAATTTCCTGGCCCATTTTTGATAATTTTTTGGACCCATTTTTGGGGCTGTTTTTGATAATTTTAGGATAATTTTGGAATAATTTTGGGATAATTTGGGATAATTTTGGGATATTTTAGGATAAGTTTTTTAGAAGAAGAGCCCCCTCATGCGGCGGCCGATGCCCTGGCTGGGTCTGTGGGTGTGTTTGGGATAATTTTGGGTGGGTTTAGGATAATTTTAGGATAATTTTATATAATTTTGGATAATTTTAGAGTTGTTTTCAGAAGAAGAGCCCCCTCATGCGGCGGCCGATGCCCTGGCTGTGTCTGTGGGTGTGTTTGGGATAATTTTGGGTGGGTTTGGGATAATTTTATATAATTTTGGGATATTTTGGGATCAGTTTTCAGAAGAAGAGCCCCCTCATGCGGCGGCCGATGCCCTGGCTGGGTCTGTGGTTGGGTTTGGGATAATTTTGGGTGTGTTTGGGATATTTTAGGATAATTTTGGATAATTTAGGATCAGTTTTTAGAAGAAGAGCCCCCTCATGCGGCGGCCGATGCCCTGGCTGTGTCTGTGGCTGGGTTTGGGATAATTTTGGGTGGGTTTGGGATATTTTAGGATAATTTAGGATAATTTAGGATAATTTTGGGATCAGTTTTTAGAAGAAGAGCCCCCTCATGCGGCGGCCGATGCCCTGGCTGTGTCTGTGGTTGGGTTTAGGATAATTTTGGGTGTGTTTGGGATATTTTAGGATAATTTAGGATAATTTAGGATCAGTTTTTAGAAGAAGAGCCCCCTCATGCGGCGGCCGATGCCCTGGCTGTGTCTGTGGTTGGGTTTGGGATAATTTTGGCTGGGTTTAGGATAATTTAGGATAATTTAGGGATAATTTAGGATAATTTTGGGATATTTTAGGATAAGTTTTTCAGAAGAAGAGCCCCCTCATGCGGCGGCCGATGCCCTGGCTGTGTCTGTGGGTGTGTTTGGGATAATTTTGGGTGGGTTTAGGATAATTTTAGGATAATTTTATATAATTT